TACCGCTTCCCCGCCGCTCTTTTTACCGACTTTAATTGAAGCCCCGTACAACTTGAGGGATCTCGCTCCCTCCGCCTCGCTGCTGCTCTTTTTCTACGCTGGCCGCATTACTGTTCGCCCTCGATGGAGCACTAGGACTATGAAGAAGTTTATGCTTTTATTGCGCAGAAGTATACCGGGTGTACTCACGCGCGCGCACACACACACACATACACAACGCGCCACGCGTATTCCACCGGCACCGGCCAGTGCATCGTAAAAAGACGATATCAGGCCGCGTATTCCGCAAAGCCCGCGGTGTGCACCTTCCCAGGACGATTCTTGCCGCGCGGATGTAGAATAAAGGGATCTCTCCCTGGCAGGGCGGCCGAGTGATAGATGTAATTCGTGTGTTTTCAGGGTCGGCCGGTTGGCCGGCTGACTATCGGCGATCCTTCGTTGTCCGCATACAATAGCAGCCCTTTAGAAAACGATAACGACTGCTGTATAAGCGAGGTGTAACCGAGATGTCCTATGCCCACTTGTCTCCTCCCTTCCTTGTGAATTCTTCGGCGGACTCGACACTTTAGGGGTGAAAACTCGAATCGAGCGCACCTTCCCGCTTCTCACGCTTTTCATTTTGGACGTTGTACACAACGCGTCGCAATATTGAAACACAACCGAGTCTCAAATTAAAATTCCATTAAAACAAAGCGCTGTTTATTCGACATTAAATCGGGAGAGCGAGATTCTGTTAGCTTTGAAGATCGATTCGCGAACAGCCATACATTTCTCGTCCGCTTTAAAACATCGGACAAATTGAATTTCGACGAACGATATCTTTCTCTTCCCCTCTCTTTCTCTCTCTCTCTCCCTCCCTCCCTCCCTCCCTCTCTCTCTCGCTCTCTCTCTTGGGAATTATCGATTTTTGTCGGAGATCGAAATTTCTCGCAATCGAGGTCCCTTCCGTCCTCAACGGTTGGTTCCCTCCGACCGCGGGTTACCGTAGTCGGCTTTGTGGGAGCGCGCTCTCCTCTGCGTTTAACATACGAGCGGATTGACGTCGTTTGGCGTCGAGTTTATATACGACAGAAAAGAACTCTCTCCCGAAGACTCCCGTCGTAAACTCCACGTTACACATGAATTGTTAGAGCTTTCACTCCCCGCGCGCGCGCGTTTGACGCACCCCTAGCGCGTCCCCCTGCGCTCACCCTCACAGCTCCCTCTTTGATGCGGGTACTTCGCGGATGTTACGCCGCATGATAATATTATTATACGACGGGTATACATTTGCCACGCCGGGCGTCATACACCGCCAGTATCGAGTATTATCACGAATACTCACGAATACGTGATTGGATAAGTTCATCCTATACCCCGGGACTCGTTACGATCCCTCTCGAACTCGTTGCCGAAGAAATATAATCCGCATGCGGGACCGCTGGATTACAGTGACGTCGGATATTCGCATTAATAAAGTTCCCCAGCTGCGGTCGCGTGCTTTGTGATTTGCCGTAATCTCGAATTACCTCTGTTCACGGTGGAGCCGAGTAACTGGATTGTTACGCAGAATTATCGAACGCTCGAATACGCTTTCATCGCTTTCCCAGGAATAATTGCGGAAAGCATTTCTGCCCGTGCGTTTGTCATAACGAGAGGTTTCTATACCGCTGTGAAATTTCAAGTATGTTCGTATATCTCCTCTGGATTTATCTCTCGAGCGTGTATCATTACACCGGAGTCGTATCATTAATAACTGAAACGCGCTGTTATAAAGTTTCCGTATAAATCACGATTTTTCTTGTTGCACGAAAGTTGTCCAAAAGAAAAAATATCTAGAAAATAAGAAATATTCGGTGAATACCAATAACATATTTTGTTTCAGTCCAAATCCTTTTATTTAAACAAAGTAAACAGTTGCTTTCACGAGAAGCTAAAGTTTTCGAAGAGTGTATATATATTTTCTCACTTGAAATATCTTTCTTAAACATTTCTCAGATATTTCTTTCTCTCAAACTCAAATAGTGCAATTAGGTAAGTCGTTAGTGTCATCAAACGTGCGTCATTAAATAGAGATCGTATCATTAATAATTGAATTAGTGTGAAACTAATAACTGTAACGTGCCGTTGCAAATTGCTGTATTTCGATACGACTTTGCTTCGCAAAAACCGCTTAGATTTGATTCGATGTGACCCAACATCTGTCTATAACTCGTCTGTCTCTCATACCTCGTGATTCGACGTTCGCAAACACGCCGACATCTTCCCCGAGAGGTATCGATATTGCGCATTCTTAACAGAGCGAGACGATTGAAAGTAAAGTCCATTCGGCCGTTTAACGCGCGAAGAAGAAGCGTAGACTCGCCGCTGCGCTTTCGGCGAAGTTGCCGAGACCCTAGATTATGGTGTACTCTCTCTCCGGTAGCTTCTCCCTGACCCCTCGCGACCCTCCGACATCGTCGCGGAAGAGAGTAAAGTTCTCCGGCAGCTCTCGTGTAAGCTAGACTAGTCGGGGGCTGCCGTTCTCCTACCTGTGTTTCTTTCACGTTATAGCCCTTCCAGCTAAACTTCCGGGCCATTAATTTACATTAGGACATTTTTCAAGAGTGCGCCGGGTTCTCCCGGCACATGGCGGACGGGCGGGCGGACGCGCGCGCACCTTAAAATTGGCGAACTCCTCTTTTTAACGTCTCTCCCCTAACACGGGAGAGCGGAACGAGAGAGCCCTCGAATCGTCTCCTCCTCCCGCGCGAGCCGCCCCTTGTCGACGTCACGCTTGAATTCTTCACCATTAAACGACGACGCGACGGTAGAAAAAGGAACGAGCGGAGCGTATATGAGATAACTTCAGAATTTCATTTAACGACGCGTTCGTGCGCGCGCGAGTGCGCGCGGGGGCGGCATGCGGAAGACATGGCCGACTCTCTTTCTCTCCTCCCTTGGCCTGGCGGTCATTAAATCACGCCCGTGGCGAGTCCGTCGCGCGACTTGATTGATTTGTAAAGCGGCCCCGCGTCGATGCCGACGGGGCATTGGCGTTACTCTTGAATTCACCGTGTTTACGTAACCGTATAAGTGCAACATATATCACTTTATAATTTCATTACGTACTGCCACGTACGTGCCGTACATGCGCGCGCGGTGGCCGTTCGCTCCGCTCGCGTCAACATTGAAACAACGAGCGCGGAGCATCGGCTGTCGCTAAATAATTTATTAACTCGTAAAACCCGAAGTGACGTTAGCGCGCGCGCGCGCGCGCGAGAGCGAGCGAGCGAGCGAGTATGTCGCGTCCGCTTTTGAATTCCTGCTCCATTAAGCCCGCGCGGTCTTGGAGAGAGCTTGAGAACTCCGTATATCATTCTTGAAATTTCATTAGCGACTCGCGCCATTAATGCAGGATACGATAAATATATAATGCGGGATATACGTTCTGTCACTGAAAAATTTATTCACTCGTAAAGCGAGCCGGTCGGTTCCAGCTATCGATAGCTGGAACGTTGGCTGTGCACGTCAGCGAGAAAGAAAGAGAGAGGCAGAGAGAGAAAGGGAGAAAGAGAGAGTTTCTCGTCGGGAAACGCTCAGACTAATTAACTTCGCGTTATTATACGAATATTCTGTTACTTCCTAGTTGCGGTAATGTAGGGCTGATAATCCTGCGAGCGCGGGTTGATTCGCGTCCTTCTTGCTAGCAGGAGATAACAGTCGCCGTTTTCCACAGGGGAAAAGGGAGAATGATAACTAAAGGTTGCGTTTTCGAGACGGGAGGTCGACGTTTACGGGATTGCGTTGTAAAAACCGTCGAGCGCGCGCGCGGAATATTCTCGAAAAGTTCGATAAGAGAACCCTACAGAGTTAGTTATCGTATCGAGCGAGGCCTGTGATCGAAACAAAAAAAATTGCTCGTAAAATGCACCGCCATGGACGCCGGCGGACAAGTTTAATGCCCGTTCGCGTAGACATCGAAATAAAGAGAGACAGAGAGGAAGAGAGTAGAGAGAGAGAGAGAGAGAGAGAGAGAGAGAGAGAGAGAGAGA